GCCGTGCTCGAGCTGCCTGCCTCTGCTCGCTCGTTCGTTCGCTCGCTCGCTCGCCATGCTGCAGTTTTTTGCCGCGATTTTCCTTACACGAAATTCGCCATCAAGAGCTGGAGCCGTTCATGCTGCGATGTTGCCCCGCCGGGCCGGGCTCTGTGTCATTAGTTGTGATGCGCCGTTTTTGTCCCGAGTGTGTGTGACCTCAACGCTCGCTACGTGCAGCATCCGCGTTATTAAAGCCAAACCACCCCGCCGCGTGCACAATGTTAATTTGCGCGCAAAGTCTCGCGAGAAATCATTTTCCGACGAGAGCTCCCATAGTGCCTTGAAAATTTTCCCTAAATCTTTCAATTATTTTCGTCATATTAAAATCAAATTTGATTCAATTCAATATTAAATGCACGATAATGTCACATCACAATTACTTCATAATCAAAATTAGGCATAAATACATTAAAAATTTGAAATAGTAATTTATTGAAACTTTAATTCATTTGAACACAATATATTTAGAACGATATGTAGAATATCTATCCTTATTTTTAAAAATTATAAAGAAATCTCAACCTTTTAAATTTTGCAAATTTGCAGCTGAGATTAAGTGGATTTATTCAATATTTTAAAAAAAATTATTAAGAAATAATCTAAAATGGTGAAATTATCAGCTGAGATGAAGGGTGGGTCCTAATATCAGAGTAACGATTCTCAAAATGATCCTCGAGAGAAGATTCCGGAGAAACGATTCTCAAGAAAAGATTCTCGCGCAAGGATTCTCCAGGAACGATTCTTGAATTTTATAGGCAGAAACGTTCCTGGAGAATCCTTGCACGAGAATCTTTTCTTAAGAATCGTTTCTCTGATATTCGAACCACCCAAAGTGAAGTAAACTTAATTTTATCATAAATCCTTTTCTTGGCCTGAAATTTGCAATATTTAGATTTAAAATTTATCTCTATATCCGCCTGCCAAGAAAAAACCTAAAAAAAATAATTCTGGTTCGATGATCTGAGATTGACGAGTAAAAAACTTGTTTGTTCTTTCTTGCTGCTCATAATATTTATGATGCACTTTGCATATTGCATTGGATTTGGCGTTTGAAAAAGACGATAAATAACAAATTTCCAATGACATCGAAACAAAATTTGCTCGCCGTTTTACCAAGATTAACAAAATTTGGTGATAAACAAGCGAGCAAAAAGCGTGTCTCGAGGAATGCGAGCGGACGAAATCGGCTGTGAGCGCAGCCAGACGCGGTTTTTATGGCGACGGAGCGCGTGCTTTATGCCTATTTCTTGTCCCCGTTTTTTTTCCCGCTTCCAAATTACCCGGTCGCTGTTTACGCTTTGCTTTTTATTTATTTAATTTTGTATCGAAGACACGCTCGCTGCCTTTTCTGCACTTTTGCGACTAACTATAATTTTCATTAACCGAAACACACAGCCAGTGCGGTGAATTGTTTCCGAGTAAATTACACCCGCACGTCCGCGCCAGTTGTTAATATAATAACCCTTGCAACCCCCGCAGGAGCAGAGTTTCTTGAATATTATTATATTATTCCTCAAGATGTTTAATGCGCGGGGCGACGTGACAAATTTGCCACCCCTCGCGGCTGCAACTTCTCGCACCTTATTTAATCAACCCCTGCGCGCGCGTTCCTTCACAGGGCGCAATCATTCATAAAATTATCACGCACTTGCGGATCAAAACAAACTTTGCAATTCCTGCAGGATTTGATTTGTAATGAACACGTTGCTGGGAATTGGTAAAAATTAAAGAGTGTTTACGCTTGAATGAAAGTGGCGCGAGACTCATGCAATAATGCGGCCCCGAGTTGAATTAACTTTTTGCCGCCGCCGCCGCCATTATATTATGATGGAGCTAGCGGGTTAATTGTTATAATTTATGAGCACTCCCGCCGCGTCGTCTTTAATGAACTTGCGGGTGGGGGGAGTGGCAAAGATTAAGGGCCTCTCACGCGAGTGCCCTTTTTCAAAATTCGTGCCGAGCCAAAATTCCTCCTTAATTCTGCCGAAGAAACACTCGGCCTTTTTTTAAACTCATTTCATGCGCAGAAATTAAGCAGCATTTTTCGGTCACCTGTGCGAGTCGAAGAAGCAGATGCGATTCTGGAAAGCACGTACCGGTCCGTTATACAAAAGAGGAGAGCAGGAGGCGATTTTTTCTCAAATTGATTTCACCTGCCCGCGCCCGCTGCCCACGGAGCACTCATTGCAATTACCTCAGGTGAAATTTAATTGTTGTACAGGTCGTGATTAAACCATTAAATTTGTTCGACATGAGTTATTCAGCATTTTTAAATTTCAGACTTCAACAAACAAATTGCAGCCTGCTTTTTCAATTCCTCCTTTTTTTTTTAATTTTAAAGGATGAAATAACTGAGGGCAGTAAAATGCTTCACAAAAACTTACAATGATCATTTTGATAATAAGGAAATTGAAGGGTAAATAACATGATTTATTTTCCTAAAAAAAATTATGCTAAGTTTTTAGCACTTTGATTTAATTGATTCATGCAAGCAATTGTAAAGATAATCCATGCTTTAATGTTTATAATATAATTCCTGAAAATACCCAAGTAATTAAAAATCATCATATTTTGTCACAACGTATGCGATGTGATCGTTTCAAGATGTTCAAAAAGAGTTTCACTAAAACTGCTATGCCAAATTAATTAAATTTTTTAATTTTCTCTCTGGGAGGTTGGAGCTGATGAACCACGGCATCTTTTGTTAAATGACACCAAGTTTCTAGGTCAAAGGTCATTGAACCTGGGGAGAGGTCAATGTAGAAAAATTTGTGCCCTTGGAAAATAGGCAACCGGACAAAAAAATCTGAGATAGCCAAAAGAGGCGCCATATCACATTAAAAAAGAAAACATTTCATCAAAAGTTTTGAACAAATTGTTTTAAAATGACGATTAGACAACTGAGAATGACCTGTTCGAATGAGCTAAAATTTGAAAATTGATGCTTTTTGAAATTGAAAGTTCTTGCTTTTCTCTCTCTCTCTCCAAATGTGTTTGTTTTCTTTGTTAGGGGAGGATTGCGGAGAATGAAGACGGATTATTTGCCCGATTCGAATGTCTGTTTTGTGTGCTAATTGCGTGGGTAATTAATACGGACTTGTGCGCGGCACCGCAGCAGCCCCCACAGTAGTTTCCGAGTCGAAACGCGACCATCTTTTTGGTGCTCTGCAGCTGTTGACACGTCGTGGCTTTCGTTCCCACGCTTCTGCCGCTGCAGAGACACACTATCATCGCCCCCACATTAAGCCAGGCGAAAGTATTCATCATCTCTCTCTCTCTCTCTCTTTGCGTCACTCGGCATTCTGATTCTGTGTGTGTGTGCAGCCCATCTGGAGATAAGATGCAAATGGCTCGTCCAAATATGCATACACATAAATTCTAGCAAGTCGACGCGCGGCTAAATGAAGTGCGAGACCCTATCTAATGAAGTGCTCTTTGTTGTCAGTCTCAAAGTTAAATTGTGCAATGCTTGTGAAATGCGACACTTTTCAGCCCAACACAAACGACTAAAACAAATACATTTTAATTTTTTTTTTCATTATTTTAAAATTATTGTTGTTGTTTATTTGTCCACATTGTTACAAATACATTGTTTACATTTAATTTTTGAAAAACAATTATTTAGGAAAAGAGATTGTTGGAAATTATATTTTTAAGAATTTTTCTTAATAAAATTATTTTAATAAACTAAATAGGAAACCAAATATTATGTAAAGAAGCTAATTTTAAAATTGCAAATAATTTCATAAAATTAAACTATCTTCTTAAAATTTGCTCCCTGAAATAAAAAGAAATATAAAATTAATCGTCCCATCTTATTGAATCGCGCCGCTCAGACTGGTTTATTTATCCGTGGAGCGCTTTTAAAAATATAATTAAGAGTCGGCGTGGTTTGAGATCGGCCGTTGAGTTTTGAGGCGAACTATCCATTCCAGTCACATATTAGCGCTCATAAAATCTACTATGTACAGGTGCGCGCCCATTTCTCTTTGTTGTTGCGCGAGCCGAGATGTAATCAGCGCACGTATCACTTTCAATAGCGGATTCCGAAATGACAAAAAAGCAGCCCATTGTCTGTTTATATGTAGAGCCGCCCTCGAAAATATTCTCCCGTATTGTCTGCATTTTTTCCCCTGGCCCTGCAGGCAACCGAATTTGTCTCCATACGGCACGCGAAATTAACAGAGAAGGAAGCAGTAAAGTCGGTTTTACTGCGATGCTCACATAGGCGAGGGCGCAATTAGGGCGTCTTTATGCCCGGATCAAATTGCCGTGAGTAACGCTCCTTTCGACTAAAATTAAGTGGAGCAAAAAATAAGCAAACATTTATTAGAAGACGAGTGAGATGAAACAATCGCCCTGTTTATTGCTCCTCCATCTCCGTAAACTACAAGCACGATTGACATTTTAGTTTTTATTCATTTGATTTATACAAATAAATTTTTCACAATGAGTTTTGAATTAAAGCACCCTCTGGTGATTTTTATTGGTCTTTATTCTGAAAGATCGCCAAGTTTTTATTATATTTTGTGGAAAATAGATGTGAAAATTCCAAACCGTTGCTTTACATTTGCAAGAAAACATAAATCGACTTTTTCACACAAAAAATCTTCAGCTTTTGGTCGTTTGTGGCGCTGCGATCGCTGATGACTCATGCAGCGCCACCAAGGACCAAAAGCTGAAGTTTTTTTTACCAAAGTAAAGAAAATACTCAATTCTCATAATATTTCTTTGCTGAAATTATTTGAATTGGATTTTCCTTTTATTGTGACGCTACGGTTTATTATTTTAAAATCTAATTTTTTATAACAATTTGCTTGAAATTTAGCGATTTTTCAGAAGAAATAGTAATAAAAATCACCGGAGTGGTTTTTAAATCAATCTGGAAATAAGTTTGATTTTAATTAAAGATTTAATTTATAAATCATTGGCGAAATTATTTATTTATTTTCCCACAGGAGGATAAGATCAACGAGGAAAATTCGGATGGCGAGAGTTGTTGTGCGTTGACGGCGGATCCAGAACAGGGCTTCGTCGGTAAGTTAATTTGTTTATTCAAATTCGGCTGGCAAATTCGCTCTTGAGATTTGAGCAGAGGGTGCGTTTAGCAAGTCATCGCGCAAAGTAATCCGCGCGCTGCAGTAATTAAAGCCTCTAATTAGATTTACACTCAAACGGAGACTCGGAATTGCACACTCATAAAATATTCAGCGTCGTTTTTTTTTGTAGCGACAAGTCTCGTGTTTCTCGCTCCAATTTAAATACTTTGGGTCATTATTTATTCGCGCCCCTAATTTGCATTTTTTGCGCGCCGTGTTTTTCGCGCCAAACCGTCCATCCTAATTAAGGACCAATAAATTTTGTTCGATTGGATTCGAGTTTGTATTTCTGTAAAATGCAAATCAGCAGCAGCAATTTTAATTGAAATTTAACCGCCGATACCTGATCTGCAAATAATCTACAATTCAGATCGTCTAGATGCTGAAAGATAAATTAATTTAGGCTGATTTTATTATAGATAAATACTCTTTAGCTCAGAGTGGTGATGCCATCCAAAGCTCCAAGAATTGAGCTGAATGTAAAGAAAAAAATCAGTTAATTTAAAAGTTATTTAAAAATAACGTTGCGTGTTGCCAATTTAAATATAATTTAGTTCTGTTTCAAAGTTTTCGAATATCTAGAAATACGATTTAATTTTTAACCACATATTTTAATGTTATTGTTTTAGGGACATGAAATAATCTTGACGATGAGGCTTTTTTTACTTTCTTCCTAATTGTAATTTTTATTTCTGATGAATTTGGTAAAAAAAAAAAAAAAAACAGCTTTGTCGTGCGTGTGAAGAAGGCACGGATTATTAATTCGGCGAATAATTCCAAGGGCAGAGGTCGAGTGCGCTTTACATCAGCGCAGATAAAATCTAAGCGCGATTTTACATTTTTGATGGTGCACGGGCGTGAATAATGGTCCGCGTCACGGCTTCATACACGTGCTGTTGGTTTTTCTCATTCATTTTTGGCCGCGCAGAGCTTCAGCGGACCTGAACTTGCGAGAAAAAAAACGCGATGCTGGATGCGGATTGACGGGGAAGAAAAAGGGGTTGCTGCGCTCGCTGCCTAGCGCAGTTTATAAAATTTGTCTTGGGTCGGAATTAATAAATATGCCGGGGCGAATGTACATCATAATGGGCGATGCTTTAGTGCAGTTACCAACTAGTGCTGACATTACAACAAAAGGGGGAGCGCCGCGGCCATAAAATATCAATTCCTCGCTTACATCAGTGGCGCGCTCGCTCCCTCCGGAATATTATATGCGAAATTCGCTCTTTCGCTCGCTCGCCCGTTTTTAATAGAGTGCGAGAGAAATCCTTCTTTCTTTCTTTCTTTCTTCTCTCCTCAAAGAAAGGAGCGCGATGAGAATTAAAGCCGCAAATTAGTTTTTACCCCAGCCTAAACGTCAAGCATTCGGTGACTGATTGGCCGCGGCGATTACTTTTCCATTCTGCTTTTGCTCTTCCTTTCTTGTGCCGCCGCGTAATGAGACTCGGCCGCGCCAGGTCAATATGCCGAGACACTGATCCATCACCTCGTTTGAAGGGTGGGCAAAGCGGTCACACAGGGTTGCAGCAAAATTCAAGCACAAATCAAGTTTGAAATTTGAAGCTAAAAAGTATAAAAATTAAAATTTATTAACTTTTTCTGGAAAAATTTAAATAAAAAATCAGTTTGAAGATCAAAATTTTAGTGGAAACTTCTGTTGCGATAAAATTCATTTCTAAAGTTCTTATTTATTTCTTTCCAAAGCCCAAAGCAATTTAAAACTGATTTAAATTTGTTGCTCATGAAATTACATAAATCATCGTCTGCATATTCATTCAATTGTATTTTTAGCACAATTCAAGACTGAGATTTTAATTGATATTTTAAATGGAGCAAATTAACTGGAGCCACGACGAAAATTATTAAATGAAACACAATTGATTTGTTGTGACTCGGAGCTCAACCTTTGTTGGACGCTTTTGATGTATAAATGTATCGAATGTCAACATTTGGGCGGTTGGAAAAAAGTGCAGGTCACTCCGGTTCTCGGAGGAAAAAGCGGGCGATCGCTGCATGCACGCCTGCCTCGCCGTTTCTCGGAACAAAATCAATGGAGCGGCTCCTCCTGCGCACCTTCGTCCATCGCCCATGAATGGCAACTCGTGACAAAAGTGATTTAACATTAATTTCAGGCTTGGTTTGCCTTCGCTTTTGTCCGTTCAATTGCCGCGCGTTTTAACGCTGATTAATTTTTCCATTCGCGCCACCGGATGAGCTGTTCGCGTTCATTATTCATCTCTCGAGAAAGACGCGACACGTGAAATGAACAAGAAAAAAAAACAAGGACTCATTGTGGCAATTTATCGCGGCTAATTATCTTTCTCTCTCTCAAGAGCGAGTAACCATGGAAGTGTAATTATTTTGATTCCGTGCATTTCTCAGCTGCTGCAGCCACTTGACAGCGTTTAACGTTTTACTTCAAATAACCTACGCATTGCAACCTCTGCTTGAGAGAAATAATTGCTCTCATTAATAATTTCATACATATATGCGGTTTAGTGGAATAAATTATGCTACAAAATTCCAGCGTGAATTCCAAAAGTTTTCAGATAACTTTCAAACAATTAGTTTATTTAATTGCAAAAACATTAGTTTAAGGAATTGAATTAAATTTAGTAAAATAAAGTATTTTATTATCCAATGAAAAGAAAAATAATTTCGTTGGTTCAAAATAATCCAATTTTTTTTTTTAGAATTTTTTACAAAACACTAAGATATTTTTGTACGAATAACAAAATTTTTATCCAATAAGCAATGAAATATGTTTCATTTATTTGAAAAATAAAAACGAAAATTCTTCCGCTCAGCTCTCTTGATTCTTATAATTCATCTCAAATTACTTTTGGCTTTCTTCGCGTTTGTAAAGAGGAAGGAAAGAAATCACGCGATCCGCCGATGCATCTTTTCTGTTGCAATGTCCGCTGAAAATTAATCGTCGCCGGACAATGACTGCTTGCGTGGGGGTGTATTTATTTTCTTTATTCTTTTGCCTTTCGTCGGTGGGGTGGATTTGGAAGCCAAACTGGGTTAGCGAGACCTTGGCGATTTTTTGCTGATCCAGACGAAAAAAGCGGCAATAAGGAAATCCAGAAGGAGTTTTTTTGCCCCCGCGCATCGATCGGCCCGCGGCACATTTTCGGCACAAGGGGTCGCTCCTCGATGCAGAACAACGCGCGCGGGGGTTATTTCTTGCATTCATCATTCCTCCGCGGCCGGCGACCTTCACACTGAATTTTTTGTCCGTCCGTCTCAACGCGCTCAATTTCCATAAGAAGAGCAAAAACTCCAGAGACGCGCGCAAAATCGATGCATTCCTCGCGCGTCTGCCAAAATTAATTTCAATTTCAATTAAAACTGTTAATTTTCTGGTCATTTTAATTCAGTTTAAAAAAAATTACTTCAAAATAATACCTTTAGCTGTAAAATTTGAAGCATTTAATTTGCAATTTTCGTTCAACTACCGATGAATGGGGTCGGGGGGGGGGCAGGTGGGGCCCCCTGGTTAATTGCGCGCACCTGTGTGGGTCGGGCGGCGACTTGAGCGAATTTAATGAGGCGAGCACCTGCAGACAAAATGGCGTCGTGCAATTGTGATTGGCGGGTGGGGGGAGGGGCGAGCATTGTCCGGCTGCCGCCCACCGCCGGTGACGTCACCGGAGAACGCGGCGACCCCAGGGTGGGTGCCATGCGCGCCACCCCCGCTCGATACGCAGGGGTGGCGCAAAAAACGGCGGCGCCCAATTCCAAGCCTCGGCTTCTGCTCCGCTCCGAGAAACGAAATCGCTCCGACCACTCAAATTTAACCCTAAAATTGTTCAAAATGTGGAAATCGTCCCTGCAGAATCAAAATAATTACGAATTTTTAAGGGAATTTCCTTTTTTTACACTTTTCATAACTTTTTTTTATCTCTTGATGACTTTTGGGTTATTTTTTTCTCCTTTTCACTCTAAAATACAACAATGCGCTAAATCAATGGCCCTATCTAATTTATTTCTTGATTGTTTGTACTTGCAAGAAATTGCATACATTTGTACTGACCATTCCAATTTTTCTCTAAATTATTTATAAAACATTTTTCTTTTATTAAATTTTGAGTAGAATTTGAGTTTATTTAAAATAAATTGCAAATTCTTTATCCTGTTAACCTCTCTCATGTATTGTTGCAAAAGTTCGGGAAACAATTTGATGCAAAAAACACAAACTTCAAATTAAATTTTTTTTCCATTACTTTAAACTTATGAGAAATATCTGCTGTTGTATATAATTTATTGGATTTAATTATGTAAAAAATCTATACAAGGAATTCATTTTGTGATTAACATTGAAACTGGCACTTTTTTGTCTTTTGTCGGAGAGAGTGAAATTCTCTCTCGTCTCGTTTCTCGCGCCCAAATGCGCCTGCGAGGAAAATGAATGCAAATCACTTTTTTCCTCCTCCGATCCTTTCTTTCTCTCTTTGATTCGGGTGCCACTGTTGGGCAGCTAATTAATCACGCCGGTAGCACCTTCGGACTAATTACAGACGCGCACCGTCCATAAATTTCTCCACTTGTCAAAACAAACAAACGCAATAATTGCAGCACGAAACCCTCGCGACATCCAGATTTTTCTCGGCGAGTGTAATTAAAGCGGCGTAAATCATGCGCGAGGCATAAATTTATTAATGAATCGAAAAGCAGGCATTCCAAGGTCCTTAATCGTGTGCAGAGGAGAATGTATATTTTTCATTCTAGATCTTAAATTGATTTAGAACGAAAGAATTTGTTTTTCAATTCATTCACGGAAAGCTGACAAGAATTTAAATCACAAATAATACAAAAGGCAAATTAAGAGAATTCCTTAAGGTTTCTCAGGATTCAATAGAATTATTAAATTATTTTAATTAATTAAAAAAATTATTCAAAACCCTTGGAATAATGGATTTGCATGGGCCCTATTTTTTGAAATATTAATTAATTAATTAAATGAAATAAATAAAATATTACAAAATAATTGTCTCTACATTAAAAATTCAACGAAACAACTGGCTTTTTTGAGAGTAAATTTTAAATTTGTCCTTTTCTTGATTTCTGATTAATATTCTTAAAATGGAGAAAATAATTTTTATTTTCAAATTTTCTTTAGTTTTTCATATTCATTTTGTAGCGTTTCCGAAACAGGCCCTTTTTGGAAATGTTTGGGATTTGGCGCGGAGAAGAGTTTGAATAATTTTCGCTTCTCCCTTGGCTGCTGAGCAAAGTGTCATTAGGTGCATAGTGACAGTGCAGTTATAAATGATGCAGTCTCTTGCAGGATTATCGGCCTGTCACCCTGCTCAAATATATATCACACGCCTCAGCCTCAGCCGTCGCCTTTGCCTCCGTCGCCGCCGCGCAAACAAACTCCTTCTGCTCGTGAAAGAGTTCAAGACATTATTTATTACGCCCGCCCGCCCGCCCTCGCTCGCCTCCAGTAAAAAATAAGCCTGAATTTGCCAGTCACACTCATCGATTTATTTCGTCTCTCTTTTTTTTTTAAATAAAATAAAAATTTCGCCTGTTTCAGGAACCATCCTTGCCCAGCAGTGAGTCCTCGAAAGCCTTAGTGGAGAATTGTCGACTGATTAAGAATTTATTCAAGATTTGTTTTAGCGTTTAGTTTAAAAAAAAGTTGCAACAAGCGGAATCCTGAGGACCGCCTTTTGTTTTTATCTCCAACACGTCTCTGAGGAAGAAAATAATATAGGCATGAAATATGGAGACGTGTGAATTGTTTTTAAAAGGGTATAAAGTCTTAAAACATTTCTATGAGAAATGAATTTCCCGTCACTTTGTAAAAGTGGCCACACTAAATGATGCATTTAACACGTGAATTACGAACCTACGCTGTACCTTCAATGTTAATGGCAAATTAAATGTGTAAAAAATGTTTGCAATTAATTAATTCATCGTGTAAAAGCAAGTTTTCTATGATAAATAGAATATGGAATTTCTGGACTTTAAAAAAAAAATATTCAATCCATTGAAATAAAGTTTCCATCACTGAGATTTTTGTATTTGTTTCTGGCGCGATGCAAATTGTTGGAGAAAGACGGGGGATTTGTTTCTGCCTGCAGCTGAGAAATGGGCGCACTCGGCCCTGCGTATAGGTTTGGCCATTACGCGCTCATAGTGTGTGTGTCTGTCTGTCTGTCTTGGCGCTGCAAAAAAGTCGCAGATACAAATAGCCGGTCATCAAGCAGTGGCCCATCAGCAGCCCCCATGTCTGCAGCTCTCGCTGATGCTCCGTCCGTGTGTCCGTCCGTAAAAGAGGGAAAACATCTTTTGCTGATGCGTGCACTTTCAAAAGAACGCACGAAATCTCTCATCAGATCAAATCGACCGTTGCTATAAAATATAAAATTCATTTTAAATCTATAAATTAAATTCATTTCTTTTTTTATGTAATGGAATTGGAAAAATTATACAATAATAATCTTTTAAATTTATTTATAACTTAGAATTTTAATTAATATCAATTTGTTAAAGATTGCTGATTTGAAAGCAAACCTGCAACTGAATTTTTTTAACCAAAAAAAAAACATTATTTTGTTTTAATTTTATTAATTATTTAAAAAATCTATTGTAAAATAATACAAATTAATGTTAAATTTTTAATCTTTGGTCACTGCGGATTTCATCGATGTCATCGCATCCTTTGAAGCACTTGAAGAGGAATTTTTGTGAGAGAAACGAAATGCGAAGAACAAAACATGAGATGATAATATTTGGTTTCCTGTCTCACAAACAAACACACACAGAGCGCAGCGAACAAAAGGGGCAATTAATTTGATGAATTTTTGATCGCATGATTTGGCCGAAAATCTCTCCTCTCGAAACCGACGCGAAAGATCAAAGATTGGAGCCGCTTTATAAGCAGATCAGCAGGAATGTCTGCGCGTCGGTCGCTCCAAGTCAACTGCAAAAGACAAGGTCTGCACCGGCCGCACTACATAAATTCATCCCGCGGCGAATGTATTGACGCTAATTCAATGATCTCAACAAAAAGCGAAACGCGAGCCGCCGACACTGCGCTCCGCGATCCCCATTGTATTTTAATACGCAAATTAGCCGCGACACCACCGTCAATCCACGCACACACACACTTGCCTCGCTCAAAACAAATTCACAATCTCATGATCCACAAACAAATAAATCAGGCCAAAATAAATAAAAAAATTTGCAAAATATTTCAACTTTTCTTTCACCATTTAATTTTATAAATAAACAGATGTAATCAAACGTGGATTGCATAATTTAATTGTAATAATTAATAAAATAATTTTTTAACAACTTCAAACCAAACCAATATTCAGATGTGAAATTTCATATTTTGAATTATTTTTTTTCTATTTTATTCATTTTGAAAAACAATCCAAGCCGAAGGAGATTCACATCGGATGCTAATTGCTCATAACATAAACATAAATTATTCAAAACTCTTTTTAATCCAAAAAACCTGTGTCGATTCGTGATCTAATCGCGCCATTTGATTCGGATAAAATTATTTATAAAGCTAGACAACCAAACACAAGTAAAACGTTTTTAAATGTTGAACCTTTTCGCTATTTAAATAGAAGTTTTGACTAATTTTTATATTATTAAAAACAATTAATGAAAGTTTCAGAAACCAAAAAACGAAATCAATCCATATTTGGCGGCAATGCTTTTAAACAGAGGTTTTGTTTTGTTTTGTTGGTACGAGTAGCCCCGCCCCCCGCCCAGGTGGCAATTAGGCTGATTTCAAGGCTGATTTGATTCCGCGCAATCCGCCGGCTTCTGATCACGGAGCACATGGCCGGTCGAAACTCGAAATCCGGTCAAAATGACCAGATCGAAATTGAATCCGGTGTTCGGACGTTGCGAAGTTGATTTGAAAGATTTTTCCGCCAGAAAATGCTGTCGCCGGGCAATGTTTTGAAAAGAAGATTTAGCCTGAAAACGACCCTCTCATCGAAGGAATGAATGCACAGAGATTCACAATACGTGAGAGAAAAACGTGAACTACACCCTGATGCCTTTATTTTTACGCGTTTATGTAACTGGAATCAATCAGGGTTGCGTTTGGATCTGAAATAATTTTGCAAACACGAAGCTGACGAGGCTAAATGAACAAGTTTTTGCAGGAAATCTCAGAACCTGGGATCAGCCTGCGTCGGATTATCGGAAATGATTCCCGAAGGAAGAGGCTGCGCACGTGAAAGGCGAGGAAGGGTCGAGCCGACCCTTTTCTTCAGGGATGCCAGGGTGCGGCAGTCGAAGGGCACAAGTGGCCGACCTGCGAAGCAACGCAGGCTCACGTTGACCTCGTTTGGAGGTTCAAGTCACTGGACACCCTGACTTCGGCCCTCAAACCTTATTGAAGCTCAAAGGTAAAAACAATCCACATATTAAATTGATTCACACCTTCATTGATTTGTAATTTTCAACACAAATTGCTACTCTGATCTGTTAATTTATTATTTAAGTCAACTTGAATTTCAGACTCAGTCGGTGGCATCGCTCAGGAGGAAGGAAGGATAAGTTTGCAATTTGCAACTTTTTGCAGACGGACATCGATCAAACCTCGTCAGCAACAAGCACCCTGGCCAAAACCAGCCACCTTCAAGAAGGTCAGTTCTTTTCTCTTTTGCTGAACGATAAGTTTTCAGAGGATTTGACCAAATTGACCAATTGCTTGGTTTTCATTTTAACGAAAATGGAATTACAAAGATTAGTCTTTGTACTGAATTAAATGCTAGTGGCGTTAAAATTCAGTTTAGAGCAATACCTTTTAAAACCAGTAAAACCTAATTGAAAACTAACATTAATTGAACCTTGCGGACTAAATTGCGGAAATTAACAAACAACAAAATTGATGCTGTTGATTGATATGCAAATCAAGTGAATTTTTTAAAACACTTTTTACACTTATTAAAAACAACTTAATTATTTTTATTTTAATTGTACAAATAATATATTTTAATCTTTCAATATTTTTACCTAACAAAATTTAAAATAATCATTTTCGATCCAAAATTTAAGTTGCACTAAAATGTTTGAATACAAAATTTTAGAAAATTTTAATACTTAAAAAGAAAATTAAATTCTTGGTTAGTGTTGACAATTTTTTCCATAGAACATCTTTAGTTGATTGAGAATTAAATTCCACGTAAAAGGCGTTTTAGTCAAAAGTACAAATTTAAATCTTTAGTTGAGATTCCAAAATTAATGATTTCAAAAAGAAAACTAAAATTGACTCGCATTTCTAATGCTTTTGATTTACAAGCAAAACTCTGCGTTTAAATGTCTGAAACAGACAAATGTTGCGATTGCAGCAACGCGATATTGTAAATTGTTTCTCTCTCTTGGCGAGGAACACGAGCAGGTGTGCGTAATAATAACAACTGCACAGACAGAGAGAATAAGTCGAGCAACCACGCCCTCGGCAAAAAGCATCCGAGTCTGGAAATTACAATCTAATAAAAGTAAATTTGATGCAGAGCCCGAGGGTCCAGCGCGGCTTATTGATTTTACGCTCAATTCCAATTTGCATGAAAATTTATGCTAATTAAATGCGTATTACGTTCAAAACGTTCCTTTCTCGATAAAACATTGTTTCAAAATTTGCAATACTTGGTGAAAGTCATGAATTCATGAGTAATTTCATAATTTTAATCTCCCATAAAAGGAGTTCAAAAATTTATTCAATTTTATAAATCATTTTAATTTTAATATCTGATTCTTTTGTGCACTTTTTTGACTCTATAGAAATTAATTTTCAGAAGAAAACAGATTTCATAAAAAATATTTGAGGAGACGAGTAAACTTTGTTGGCCTATTTTGCATTTAATCTCTCAATCGCAATGAACAAATCGTGTCCGAGCATCGTTGCCACGAGGCACTTGGGAGAGAAAGATGCATTAATTAAGCATCTCGGCATAAAATCGACTGCTCGAGTGAAATTGTAAATCGCCCTTAGCCGCTTGTTAATTTCAAATCAAAATGCGCGCTGCCGATAATAAAATGTTTACGGCCATTTGAATTGCTATTTGAAATTCTCCTCGAGATGACGAATCGCATAACAAGCAGAAAAAGAAATAAAACGGAGAGCGAGTGAAAAGGAATTATTATTATTACTTCATATTCTTCGTTTATTGCTAAGCAGGAAAAAAGGACAGTCTCTGCTGGTTTTTTGGAGTGGTAAATATATCTGGAAAGAAAAGAATATTATCTACAATCTACAAGAAAGGATTAGAAAAAAATTGTGCGGACTGTGTTTTGGTAAAATATATATTAATAATTTGGAAAATTTGATAAAAAATTTGTTCAAACGTTTTACGAAAATGGATTTTCCGGCCAGGGTAATTGTTTTACAAGAAAAAGTTTCAATCAAAAGTTGAAGGAAATCTAATTCTGCACATCTTAGTATTTACTATTTTCTATTAGAAAGGAAAGAACGATCAAAAACATGGTTTCCTACAAATTTTTGCTCATGGCAAAAATTCTTGCCTAGTACTCCCAAAATCGTCTTACAATTATAGGATAATGAATCATGTCAAAGCCTTAAAATTTTTGTTGGAAAAAATAAAAACTAGACTCTTTTTTTTTAAATTTAATAACTAATTTTAATAAGTTTTAAACAATGAATTTATAATCTTATTTAACTTCTCATCTTTCACGAGAAGAATTGCATTATTAAGATGAATCTACTTAAGCTGAAAGATGTGGAGCGATGTGAAGGTGTAACGGAGACACAATAATAGGCTTCTCTGTTGAGTGATTGTTGGAAAAAAAAGCACGCGTTGCAGCGCGCAGGACTCCTTTCTTCCGATAACGAGGCTCATGTGGTGTGCGACGGATGCGTTTTTTGGCCGCAGACGAGCGCATCACGCATTAGCTCGATCTGCAGGTCACGCTCAAGCTTTCAAACAATCCGTTTCCAATTAATCGTGAGTGCATTCGACGCGATGATCTGTTTGGATTCCTTCCTTTTTTTTTTAAACCAACAAAACTTTTCACTAGTGAGAAATAATTAAAACCAATTAAATTTATCCCTTTTTTACTCTCATTCTAAGTAAGTTTTGAACCTGTCTGAATATTAAAAAGTTTTTAAAAAAATGATAAATGATAATTTATGAACTAAATTTAAATTATCAATTGATCAGTAAATTTGTCATAGAATTCACATAGAACAAGAAATAATTTTTTTTATGATTATGCACCGAGTAAATAAAAATTTATTGCTATCAAATTCATTCATTTTGTTTTTATGAATTTCAAGGTGATTGACAAAAAAAGTAACGCACGCTGGCACTGTCCATGCGCGAATGTCTCAGCGAGACGAGTTTGTATTTCGGCAACAGACCCTTTCGAGAATAGAGAAATGACTTTTCAGACTCCAATTTAAACTCGTCCAGTGTCATTTGCAGGTCCAGTTTTTCATTTGTCTCGCACCACCTTTCCTCCTCGTTTTGATCAGTGAAAGTTTCGCCGTAATAGTTGTCAAAACTTGAACCTTTTGAACGAGTTGATTTATAAATTATAAAGTTAATTTTTATATGAAAAAACCGTTCATGAAATCGTAAATGTGCTGAAAATCGGGGTAATCGAGTGAAATGGGAAGTCTCATTCCTAAAGAACAGCAGAAGCCAAACGCCTCTGGGTATTTCTATTAAAATATAATTTTAAAAAAATATCAAATTTAAAAAAAAAATCTTACATGGTGCAATTTCCACTCAGATTTGTACCATTTTCGGCCATCAGAATCCAAAACATTTTGTCCACCTTCGGGTGCTTAAAAAAAATCATTACTTGCAGCAAGTTTTAAATTAATTAATTAAACTCTTACTAATTCCATGTTCGTTGAGCATATTTATTCTAGTAATCTGAAAAAAAGGATTAAATTTCCAAGATTATTTTATCCCCTCACATTTGGTTTACATTCCAGGCTATTTTTAAGCGAACAAGTTCTCTTCTCACGAATTTCTATCGGAGCCATTCTCTTTACAAATTTTTTAGATTATTTTCCAAATTTATGTCCATTAATTTATACCATAGACGCGTGAGTCCTAAAACTGACAACATTTTTTTTAATCAGCTTTGGTGCCAGTTTTTCTAAACATTTGTAAATGTTATAAACTCCTGTGCAGTCGTCGTTTGGATCTGGAAATTATTTTCTTAATAAAATTATTCTGAAAATTGACCCAAAAAATACCACTAAAGCGTTTGCATGCGATTAGCGTGTTTTTGCCAACTTTCTGCACTTCACCGTCGTCGTCGAGTTTATCAAGAAGCTTGATTAAATTGCCATCTTGCACGGTTCCGTTGATCACCTTTTTTTTCACAGATGAAGTTTTAATTGGAGTTGATTACAAAATGCAAATACCAATCCTAAGTTGTCGCCAATGCATTTAATGAAGCACTGCAATAAAATTGGAAAAAGTTTATTTAATATTTAGGGAAAAATCAAACTTTAAGTCACTTTCATGTTGTAAGTGTGTGGCTCGGAGCTACCGAGTTTGTCCTCTTCATCTGGAGTCATAAAATTAATGGTTTTTATTGTTTTTCATTGTTTGAGAGATCGCAAAATTTTGAGTTTATGTTGTGAAAACACGAAGTAAAGATTTCAAACTGTTTGCATCAAAATATTTGCAAGAAAACATATAACATGGGAAAACATATTATGAGACAATTGAGATATTGTCAGTTTTCTCATGAAACTTGAGCTTTTGGTCATTGGTGTCGCTACGATCGCACAGCGCCAAGACAAAATCAGCGATCTCAGCGCCACCAGTGACCAAAAGCTCAAGTTTTTTGATAATTGTAACGACAAACATCACCAGAGTCCGTCTATAACGATCCAAAGTTAAAATGAAATTTTATTTGAAAAGACCCGGTAAATTATGATTAAAATGTAAGATTCATTCACATTTTCAACGAAATGATTAAAAAAGAATCTGAAATACTATTTCCTAACTAATACCATTGGTCAAGCCAACCAAATCTGCGCATTCCTTTTCCACAGCTTTCACAGAGTTTCCTGATTGGCGAACCTATTCATTTTTATTAAGAATTGAAATTCTTTTGTTTGTAATAAAAATTAACTTCGCAAACGAAACGTTTCTTTAAATTGCAATCGGCCGTTTGCAGCGTCGTCGAATCGACTTCAGGGTTCATTTTGACGGTCACGCAACGACCCCTGTCAGTGTTGGGCTCGTTCGGCGCCCAAAGCACTTCGCGTTTCAAAAACGGCCGGTCGACGGAGCACCAGCGGAAGTTGCCCTCACACCCCACGTCACTTCCCGAAGTCCAAAACTCGTCGTTGATGTCCGGATAATCTTTTGCCAACTTCGAAAGGCCTTTTCTTTTGGCCGCCGTTTTTATTGACAGCAATTTGGTGCCGAGAGCGCAACACTTGTCAAAAGCGTCTTCATACGAGGACTGGATTTTTTTTTCAAATCAAGTCAAATTTAATTAAAATTTAACTGCTCACCGATTCTGAAGAAAACAAGAAGTATCTGTTGAATAGGGAAATCCACTTGCCATATTTGTACCTGTCTTGGAATTTTTATTTAATTTATTATTAGAGAATTATTTATTAAAAAAAAGATAAATACTTTCTACGATTGAGTCATTTTTCGTGTTGAATTTGAACAGATCTTCCTAGTAATTGTATTTTTCTTAGAAAAATGAAAAAAAGATTTATATTTATTACATCTCGATTGCACTCTTGGGCGCTGCAATTAGCTTTGCATTTGTTTTGCTCTCCCTTCAAGCAAATTAATTTTTATTTTTTAACATCAAAGTGAAATTTTGTTACCAGCAAATCGTCAAGATTCCTGTCAATCGATTCGCACGCCAACCGGACGTTTTTGCTCGTGCAATTCGTGTTTGTGAGGGCCAAAGTTCCGCCGTCAACAATGGCGCGCAGGCACACGTCACTGTCGCTCTTTTCCACTTGCGACAGCATTTCGTCCTCGATCGCAACCGGACTGTCTTTGGTGCACCACAACCAATTGTTGAAGATTGGGCTTTTGAACCCGCCCACCCAATATCGAGCGTAATTTGCGTCCCTCTTCAATTCTATCCGGCAATTAAAATCAAATAAAAATGGCAGGATTCACAAAATCCAGGTTCACTTCTCGCGTAGCGTCTCTCGAGGCACGAAAATTCGTCGTTGGTGTCAAAAATGATCGGCTGCATTCCCAGAGAGCAGCAAAGCCGCCAGTTTTCAAACCAATCCAATCCCTTTTATTGATTTATTAATTAATTAATTAATTTTGACTATGTCGAATTAATAACACTTTAATTTTTCCAAACAAGTAGGTTTTTCCGCAAACTTGGGTAAATGTTCCGTATTTATTTGGATCTGTTGGAATAATTTATTTTACAATTCCTTAAAAGTACAAAATTTAAAATGAAACGCACTCAATACTTTTCCTGCAGCGTCGATATACGTTGACTAAAAATTATAAGTTTTTAAATTTTGTAAAGCAAATTTTTATATAATATATTCTTACGTTTGGAAAGCACGAGTCAAAACACTGGAAAGTTATCTGAAATATATAAGTATTAAAATTACTGAAGTTTCAAATAATTATTTATTAAATCTGACAGCTTCGTCTGGAGCGTCTTCTGCAAAATTATAAACAGTGAATTTTGTTATTTATACTTTTTAAATTTATTTTTTACCTTCAAGCATTGCCAGGAGCATTTCATTGGAAATCGTGGACGGTTTTTTGGTTGAGCTCCTCAGTTTGAATCTGGCCCGCTTTTTGATGGAGGATTTAGGCGCCTTCAGGTCTCTCCTTTGTGAATTTTGGCGAAACTCGCCCTGGCGTAGGAAAATTTTCATCACATCGCGCGATATTCTTTCAAAATTTCTCTCCATTTCACTGAAAACCTGAACACAATTAAATGTATCAATTGGAGACAAAATTCGGTACCACAATTGCAGATGTTGCCAAAACCATCACATAAATGAGCAGCGAAAAACGCTCCATGACTTGAGCGGGTTTAGAGTTCAATGATGTGCAATCGAGAGCATTTGAGTAGTTTTTAATTTGAAGCGGAAGACAAATCAACGTCAGCAAATTTGATTGATTGATCCTGCAATTATTTTGCTAATCACTGAAATTGATGTCATCGCTTCCCTGGAAATGTAGCAAAAATGAATGAATAAATTAAAATCATAATTATTTATATCAATTAAATTGAAATAATTAATAGGAAACAGCAGAAAAAAACTTTAAAATAAATAAACAGATCACTTTTGTGTGTGTGTGTGTGTTTTTTTTTTTAAATTTATTATTTTATAATTTTGCAGCTTTGTCAGAAAAGTTTTATTAATAAAAAATAACACAAACTTTACTACAGAAGTAAAAGCTTGGTCGATCAATATAATAAAGTTTGGTAATTCCCATGATGATAGTAATCGAGTTATTTTATTTGGGGGGAACGCAAAACGCCTCAGGCTGCGAAGTGCGTGGAACGAAAGCTCGCTCGGCTCTCCTGTGCGCGGACAATTAATTCAGTAGTGTGTGTGTATTTATTTATCTTTCCATCATCGCGGCAGCAAATAATAAAATTTGAATAATAACAACGCGATAAGAACATGACCACCTCCAGAGCGAGTGAATATTGAAAACGCTTGGCTCTGGTGAATTTGATTTCGAATGCGCGATTTCGGCTCTAAACTGGCCCCAGGGCTTTCATGCGAATTTCCATCGACAATATTGACGTAGGAAAATCTGTAAGTAAAAGTTGGTAAGAATTACAAAAATAGTAATATTTTCAGCATAATAAATTTTTATTTTAAAATTTTTAAAGAGATTTATCAGATTTGATAATAATGAACTTGCAAATTTAAAACTTTGCTAATTTTTAAAAAAAGAACTGATCAATTCTGGAAGTTACAAATTTATTTTTGAAAAAAATTCCTCCTTCTCGATTCTTGTATCATTTATAAATATCCGTCTCCGTTTTTGTTCTGAAATTAATCAAACTAATTGAAAACGCATTTAGTTTTTCTCCTTGTTTGGTTTCGCTCGCGAGTTGGTGCCAAAATGACCCAGATAGAGGAGGCGTTAAGCCAGCGTTCGGGGGCGAACAACCCTTGCTGCCTGAAGGAGAGATTGCGAGCGAGAGGGATGAAGATGCACAAAAAAGCTTCCCTTGTTCGTTATATCATGACGGGGCGAGCGAGCAGAGAGCGGGCGAGGTACAAAAAACTTGGATCCATACTGGGCGCGCGATTTTTTGTGCTTTCAAGGGGATCGAACATTATCTTGCGCGCGAGCCATCCAGATTAAACCCCGAGTTTCAAAATTTCGCCTAAAAGAGAGAATTTTTTTTCTTCCTCTTTTGCGCGCCGCCTTTGTTCTTTTTCTCGAGAATCAAATTCTTTCTTTAACGGGACCAGGAATTTTGCTCCTCTTTGTCGCGCGAGCACCCGAAATCTATTCCGAGGAGACAATGCGACGCGCGCGCTGGACATAATTAAAATGCCAGCGGTACCTGGAAATCTATCAGATGCTCTCTCAAGAAGTCACTGCGAAATCAACCAGTTTTGAGCCAGCGACATGCTTTGCACTTCAATGCGCTCATTCTTGCCAAAAGCAATCGCCAACTCTTCAACTTCAAACCGATAATTATCAGTTTCAATTTAATTATAAGAAGGACGATGTCAAAAGTTAACTTTTTTGAAAAAATCTTATGAATTTGATATATTAAAATTTTTGTCACATTGAGTTTTTATAATAAAATAATCAAGATAATTAATTTTGAACGCAATCTTTTAATTAAAAATTGAATTTCTTAGTTAATTTTTTTTTAGAAATTTGACCAAAAGATGATTAATTAAAAAGTATAATTACAAATTCATTAGTATTTTTCATTTGAACCATCAAAATTTGAAAAATTTCAGAATCCAATTTCTGCTGACTTCTTTTTAAACAATCTCTCAATTATCTCTGCTGAAATTGGAGTGCAATTCTCTCTCACCGAGTTTCTCCCAGGGTTTAACAACTTAATTTCTTTCTTCTTGGAAATTGCGGCGTCCGTTTTGTCGTGTAAAAGTTAATGGACAGTTGGCGTGTCCACTCACCCGCGCACACGGGCCCTTCTCTCTTGTTCAACTTTTTAATTTGCATTCGATTGGAAAAAATGGATTTTCTTTGACCACATTCTTACGTGTGCTGCGGGCCAAGCAGAGCGTATCGCGCAAACAATCCAGGCCGCGCCGCACTAACCCAGCCAAAAAACGCACCCAATTTCTAATCGGCAACCTCGAAAAATTGGAAATGGACCGACGTGACAAAGACGGTGGGAAAATCCTCCCATCTGATTGATTGACACTCAAGACAAGCTACTTATTGCTGGTTTAAAGTCATGTTGATGAAAATTTATATATTCAGAATCATAATTCAAATTGTAAATTTGTGAGATTCAAATTAACTATTTAAAAATACAAGAGAGTGACTTTTTCTAATTTTCTACATAATTTCATTACAAAATGCAATTTTCCAGAGTCTTTTGTCTTCTTCAAAATCCGGAATCGTATAAAATTTAAAACTTTTAACTGATTTTTACGTAAATAGGTTAAATTTTAAACATTTCTTTTTTTAGTAATTGACATTTTTCCACAATTATTGTGTTTCCCAGTTGTTATTTTTTTTTTAATCACGAAATGAAGATTTAACCAAAATTCACACGCATTATTTTGCTGACAAAATGTGAGTAACGACAAATAAATGACTGCAAATTATAAAAGTTTTTGTTTTCGCCCGAGATTATCCACAACACACATCGGCTTGTAAAAATTACTTAAAATGTTGTTCAACAGCTTCTCTTTATAATGCATACTTTGAGGAAAAAAAGAAGAAGCGAGTGAGTCTGTTAATTGCCAAAAGCAGCGGTCGCAGCAAAAAAATCTGGAATAATTGTGTGTCCACGGCAGAGAAGCGTAATTAAGTTGATAATAATTCAGGCAGGTAAATTGGCCTCGTCTGCAGAATCGTTCGCTTAAACAAACAAAACAATTAGCTTTTTTCTCAGCAACCGCAATTAGGGCGAATGAAAAAATAAAAGAGTAAAAGACAAGTCAGAGTGTCAAAAGTGAAATTTGTAATCAACTGAAAGGGCAGCTGAGCTTTTTTGCTTGATGGGTGAAAGAAAAGTGCTTCTGAATACGAGAAAGGAAAAACTATTTATTTCAATTAGTTAATTGGCTTATTTAAAAACTTGTAATTGTTTCCAAATGGAGTCATTATTCAATTTTTTGCTAGAAATCGTTTGGATTTAAAAGTTTTTTTTTTGCAATGTATAGCGAAAGTCCTGATTATTGTTAAATTCTCCTGAAATATTTGGAAAAAAATGAAGTTTTTGACATTTTAATTTAATTTGTCACATAATTTTTACACCTTCTTTTCTTTGCATTTTCTGAAGTTAATTTTAGCTTCGACTTTTAGAACTGAAATTTTAGCTGTAAAACTTAGCTAATTAAGGAATTATGTTGCATAATTTTACCAGTCTTGTTGCAAAAATGGCAAAAGCACCGTTTAGAGATTTTTGCTTACTTAAAACTTTTCCAAAGTGATATCTGTCATTTTTCCACTCAAATTATAAAAACTAAATTTGTCACTTTCCCAATTGAAGTCAATTTCGCGATAATTTGCTTAATTGCTTTTTTAGAGGAAATCGGTGTTTGTTGATTGCAATAATGAATTGAGTATAAGTGCAATTTCGGCTAAAGGGAGGTTTTTGCGGGGCGCAGGAGGCATGCGTGTGCCGAAAGGGTTGGGGGTGCGTGCGAAGGGGCTGGTCCGGCGAAGGCAGGCGCATGACGCTGGGGCGGCGCTCGTGGCCAGAAGTGCCGCGAGACGCGCAAGAAATCTCATTTCGCACGTGGGGTTCGCCGCCTGCTGACGCGCGATCGCTCCTCGCTCTGCTCTCCACTCCACCAAAAACCAACGCACACCGCGTTCCTCCACTCTCGGCCTCAAAGGTACAGTCAATTTATTCTTATTTTTCTAAAAAATAGATTTTTTTTCTTTAAATTTTTCAGTTTTTATTTAAATTTTTGTAATTAAAATAAAATGTGTTGAATATCATGAATAAATAGAATTTTATCTGTGATGAATGTGGGGAAAAAAGTGGCAAAATATGGTGCGAGTGTTGTGGTGACGTCACCGCTCATAAATATACAATGCATCTTTCTTGGCGCGCCTACAAAAAAGATGCATTTTTTTTTTGTGTTCGGCGCTCCGTCTCGAGGGGAGATTACATATCAATAGCAAAAACGCGCCCACGACTTTTTATTGCATTTAGTGTATTGTTGACTAAGGCCAGGGTTTTGATTCATATATATGTGAATGAAAGCGGCGACTTTCGGCACAATAAAAACGCTCCGTGGCGAATCCTGCAGCATTCATAAGTGCTGGCCCCGGCGATTCTCGCCACTTGCTCCAAAATGCACAACTCGACACAATTTTCTTTTAAGTAGAATTATTTGAGCTGTTAAAATAATTTAAAAAAATTTAATCTTGATAACTGTAGAAGAATAAAAAAAATTTTAAACATAAATTTTATAATTTCGTACTTTATATATTTAAAATTCTAAATTATTCTCCTTTGCTTCTGAAAATAGTTATATTTTGATTAAAAATCCTTATACAAATTTCTTGATTTTGGGTTGGAAATCTCAGTTATTCACATTTTATTAAAATTGAAAACATCTTTTTTGCTTCAATGCTGTAGTGCAATTTCTTCTTTCACCAAACTTTGTGGGTCCAGAAAATAGATTTATTGTTATAATTTTTAATTTAATTTAGCAACATTGGTTTTTATGACAACCGTGCGTCTTAGAATGATTGTATCTTTTCAAACCTTAAATTAGTGTAGTTGCAAAATAAAAATTAATTAAGAATCAATATTGGTTCAGCAGGGACAAAAATTACACAATTAACCAAAGGATTGAATCTTTTGGTGATTCAGAAAATTGATTTTCTAATTAAAAATCCCCATAAAAAGATCTATATTCTGCCTTTAAAATTCTCGAATATTCTCAGATAATTAAACATTGCGACATCCTTTTTACGCCAATGTGAGTGAAATTTCTTCTTTCACCAAAAAATCGTTGAAAGAAAAATTTGGCTCGGTTTGTGAAATAGTTTGTTTCTTTACAACAAAGCAAATTTGTCAAACCCTGCAAATTGTTCAAAATTTATTCAAAATTCAGATAAAATTTAACTTCGGGAATATTGGCGTTTCACACTAGTTTTTCTTAATCTTTTCGCCCAATTTTCCCATTCTTTATTGAAAAGATTGAAATATAAAAATCATATTCCATTTGCAATCTGCTTGAATTTGAGCATTCATTTCCATCTTTCGAAAGGGATCTTTGGTGTAAAAATTTATAGTAAATCCACTTTTGAATGTGGTGCGGCCGCGGGTGATTGAACATGAAAGAAAGGGTGATGTTTGGAGATTGATAGCGTGGACAATGGCTTGGAATTAGTCGCGGCTGCGCTGACCTTCACACCTCTCCCATTATTATTTATCCTCGGAGGCATCAAACCCTTTTTCCCGCCGCCGCCGCCGCCGCCGCCGCCGCCGCCGCGCATTATCGAGTACTCGAGTTTTTTTGGTCCGCGCCTAAATCATCTCTCTCGGCCGATCGAGCAGCTTTTTGTACAAACACGGGTAGCACCGAATCTTCTGCTTCTCTTTCGCGGCGCGTTACGGTTCAAGGACTCGTCCAAAATCATCATTACTGACCAGAGTGTCTAGTTCAGTGTAATATTCACGCTATAATCCTGATGTATGGCACTGAAGCTTAATTAAATTTACATTATTTACGCTGCTACTTATTTCACGCAGAATCGGCCATTCAAGCGCGCGCGGCCTTCTTTGTCTCTCCACTTTTTGCTGCAATCATAATTAACTGGCTCCGTATTATTTGCAAGTGCAGCCAAATTACACCTGAAAAAATTACCAACCGAAAGAGCAGTAGCAATTTTCAAGCCTTAATGATTTAATACCAACTCATGATGCCACTGCGGTCCAAGATATTAAAGGAATTCCTAATTTTAATTATTAATATCTTACAAAGCTCTGTTATTATTAAATTTTGACAATACATGCAGAGATTACAAAATCTGGAAGAAAACTGGATTCGTATTTACTTAAGAGGTAAATAATTAAAAATTATTTAGACCTAATATTTCTAATCCTTAGTTTTATGACATAATAAATGAAATCAAAATTACTAAAAAATCCAAATACTTTAATGTGACGCTATTAATTCCAAAAAGATAATTTAATTTTTCTTACTTAAATTAATTTTAAAACTTTTTAAATTGGATTTTAAAATTTGAAGCTAAATTTCAAATCAAAAATTGCGTCAGAACTAATTTTATTCAGTTTCTCTTTGTCTGAATTTTTGGAATCAGTCAATTTGTCATGGATCATTAGTTTGCGCTGCTTTTGCACAAAAGTTCGGCGTGTTTTTTTTTCTCTCAGCGTGAAAACAAAAAGCACAACTTCTTGATCGCACCCCGTGCATCTCTTTTTTGCTGCAAATGCCAATTGTGCACTCGGCGTGGGGGGTCTCGAGAGATCGTAAATGGGAAAGAGAGCAAGCGGTGGAATTAAAATTTCCCATTAATCCTTTCCTAACAATTTTACGAGTGCAAAGGAATAAAATAAGTGCTATGAAAAGTTCAAGTACGCTTGAAAAAATGCAGCAAATTATTATTAAAATCGGAGTTTCAATTATGGATATGATTATTTTTTATTGCATTATTCTCCATTCATTCGAACATTTAAAATGCAACAATCATAAACAAATTATAATTAAAATTTAAAATAAAATTCTTTTATAAATTTAAAGACTTTAAACATGGTCAAATTTTAATCAAAGAAAATTTGCGAAACACCAAAAATTTATATTGGAAATGAATGAAGCAATAACTACTTTTGTATGAATTTTGTTTTCAAATTTTAGGCTCGCACGTGGCGGTTCGATTCAAAGATCGGAACAATCATTAGGAAAGTTTATATGCCGAATTCCGGCGATTTCATTTGAACTCGCCGCGCACTACTTTTGAAGAAACGGGCGGCCCATTGTTGTTATTTTTCCGATTCCCATGGCGGCCCCGGCGAATGTGAAATTTGCGCAGAGACCGGTTTGACACAAGTCCGTCAATGTCACGTCTGCGAGAGCCAAAAGAGCGGAGAATAAGTTTTCGCGCGGCCTCCGCTTTTAGGCATTCTTTGCTCGGAACCCTTTCTTCTTTGCCGCCGCAGCCGCAGCCGCCGCCGCCGCCGCGATACACCTGCAATGATAACATTCTGCCCTTCCAAGGGTGATTCTGTACATTTTACATGTCAACAGCAGCTTCCGCAATTTATACAAAAGTCCGTCAGAATATTAAGAAAAGTCTTGTTTTTATTAATATCAAGAAGTTAATTTATCGAGTTTGATTGATTTTTTATTTAAATTATTTGATATTAATTTGAACAATAATTTTAAGTTATTGGAATCAAATTGAAATTTAATGTTTGTACATAATTTATGAATTATTTAATTGCATTTAAAGCAGAGTTTGAAGATGCAATGGTCAATGCTGCGTGATGTGCTTTGCACATTTGATCGAGTCGGACGCGTTGCAAGACGCGATTATTGCATCCGGCGCAATAAATAAGTGCACGATCGTAATCTTGGGGCAAATGCTCGAGCTTTAATTAGCAGAGAGGAAGTTTCGCAGACATCAGTGTTGGCTGCTCTCTCGCTCGCGGGCCATCTGATTTGCTTTTCTTCTCATTCAATGCGATCGCTCTGTGCTTCATCAATGCAGCGCCTTTTCATTTCGAATCCGCGCCAATCACTCAATCAGCTGCAAACACAATTCGATTCATTCTCAAAGTCGCAACGATATTCGGT